GAGAAATGCAGCCTCTGCATTTTGATTTTCTGTCCTACTCTTATCTGTATGATGATACTTGGTACCATATTCAGAATGAATTTGTGAATTCCAGTAGAAAACTAAAATTCAAAGAGCACTAGGCATGAGCTGGCTCCATGTGATGAGAGAGTAGAACTGCTGCATTTTTTTCTTTTCTTGTCTCTGAGAAGGCTAAACCAAAGAAAGGTATAAATATGCTATTGAAAAGAAAAGCTCAAAAGGAAGTAAAGAAAAAATTGAGAAAAATAAAGCCTGCAGCACAAGAAATGAATCTGTGCCTTTAAATCACATAGTGAATTATGGTCCCAGAAGGGGCTTCTGTGCAAGTAAAGTTTTGGGAATGGTGCGTCCACCAGGTAGTGAGAGACTAAGAAACAAATGGAAGCCAAGGAACCATTTTTAGTTGAATATTCTATATGATTAAATAGAATAATCGAGTAACATGTCTTTCTTTCTTTTTTGTAAATTTTATTACCTTTGTAAACCAAAGAGCTAAATATCTTTTGCTCTGTTTTCCTCCAGGCTGATTTAGACCCTCAGAGACCACCGAGGCCAGAAGTAAAAATCACTAGTCCACAAGAAAATGACAACAACGAACAAAACAAGGACTGNGGCCAGAAGTAAAAATCACTAGTCCACAAGAAAATGACAACAACGAACAAAACAAGGACTGCGCTGTCGTGGCATAGATGACTTTTAAAAGCAGAGTATATGGATTATAAGAAAAATGAAGGGTTATCATACTTGAATAATGAACACGTAGTTATTGATAAGTATAATGTGACAGTGTGGTTGAATACTACCTTCTAAATCTTAAAATTAGAAGACTAATGGAAAGATTAGATAACTGTTAGTAGCTACAAGAGGAGAATGACTTATTTTTATGGCATGTGTTTTGAAAAGTCATTTACAAAAATTAAATAAGAGAGACAGAAGAGAATTTGCACTGAAAGAGGATTTGCCTGCTTGTCTTTGTAAGGAATAAAAAAAAATAGGATCATTCCTATTATATACTTTATTATAGATTTAGAAGCAAGATTATTATATGGCAGCTTATTCTAAAGTACTTAATCTAAGAAGTCATAGAATTTTAAGGAATTGGTAATAGGAAAGCATATACTATTTTCTTAAAGCAATAAACTTGAATGAACAAATTGCAATGTAGTTTCAGAGATAATTTGGAGATGGCAATAGATCGAAATGTTTTCATGACTTATTGACATACTTTCCTTCTCCTTACCAAAATCCACCTAAACAAACTAAAAAGACAGTGCAAGGTATTCATTTTGGTAGGAGGAAGCATTTGTTCAGAGTGTTGGTGATTAACATTGGCGTGCTCTCCCTGAAGTGCTTTCAGGTTTTAATGCTCGTGGCTGTGATGGCACATACTCAGGGAGGGATTATAAAGGAACACCCAGTCATCTTTCTGAGCCTGGCTGGATGGTTTGCAAATCTGGAAATCCTGTGGATTTTCACTGATCCAGCCTACCTTTACCAATAATATCCCTTCCGTCTCCCTCCTGTTAGTATGTGAGAAAACTCGATATTGATTATTTCCAAAATGAGGTTTTTCCCAAACAGTTTTTTACACAAAATAAGACTATATAATTGGAAGAAAAAAATAGGCTATATGGAGAGTTTGTTTCTGCTTTTTGCCTTATTTCTATTAGGACTCTCTTATGATATTTTTTGCCCTAGAGATATCAGCAAATATTTATTTTCCTAGCTGAATATATTTAGACTTTCAAGCAGATTCATTTCTATATAATTAGAAGCAAATCTGATAGAAATTGTTGAAAGCTTTACAAAATTTTCGTAATGAAACCAGTTCCTGATTATAGCTTTGTGGACTGATTAATTTACAGTTGCCTTGTGAGGTATATATGGGGAGAAACGTAATTGCATTAGTTTTTTGAATTCTTAAGAGATGATGCCGCTCTTCCCTAAATATGGAAATAATATATTTTTCTCATATTAAAGGATATATTTTTTAATTATGTAGAGCTGTACATTTGAAGTTTGAACTTCTAGTGCTTTCATAAAATTATTAATCTTAAGTTTAAAAGATTTTTTTTTTCCTTTCCAGGTCTCATAACTAACCATTTGGAACCAAAATAGATGGCAGTTATATAAAGCACTTAATAATACTATAGAAAATAGATGTATTTTCCCTAATAGCTGTTTTAGTATTTTCCACAAATAGGAAGTACAAACAGAGATTATAATGTAACAGTATTTAAAGAGATAATAACATAAGGATATACTAATCTGGGAGGATGAATAGTAAATGGGGTACTCTATTTCTGGTCTAAAATCTGGATTGTGCATTCTACTAGTAGGCTTACTTTTTCAAATGGTACAATATAAGGCACGATGGACTACAAGCAGCAATCTTGTGTTGTTAGGGAAATAGACCAACTGGCCTTTTAGTGTTAAATTCCTGCACTATTACTGGGTCTGGGGTTAATAATTTTTAAATAGTTTATAAAAATAAGGGATTATATGTAAGAAAGTATAACTATTTCTCAAGGTGATTCTCTTTTCTTTTTTCAATGAAGAGATTCTGTCTTTTCCTTCTTTAATAAAGATATTTCTTTCTCTTTTTTATCTTGTTATTTTCTTCATTATACTACAAAGCTTAGGTTTTAGGGAACTCCTTAAGAATCATTTTAATGAAGTACAACATTGATATTTTACATGAAAATCAAAGTTTGGTACTCTAAGTATACTACTGGAAGGTAATAGGCCATAANTTTCTCATATTAAAGGATATATTTTTTAATTATGTAGAGCTGTACATTTGAAGTTTGAACTTTTAGTGCTTTCATAAAATTATTAATCTTAAGTTTAAAAGATTTTTTTTTTCCTTTCCAGGTCTCAGAACTAACCATTTGGAACCAAAATAGATGGCAGTTATATAAAGCACTTAATAATACTATAGAAAATAGATGTATTTTCCCTAATAGCTGTTTTAGTATTTTCCACAAATAGGAAGTACAAACAGAGATTATAATGTAACAGTATTTAAAGAGATAATAACATAAGGATATACTAATCTGGGAGGATGAATAGTAAATGGGGTACTCTATTTCTGGTCTAAAATCTGGATTGTGCATTCTACTAGTAGGCTTACTTTTTCAAATGGTACAATATAAGGCACGATGGACTACAAGCAGCAATCTTGTGTTGTTAGGGAAATAGACCAACTGGCCTTTTAGTGTTAAATTCCTGCACTATTACTGGGTCTGGGGTTAATAATTTTTAAATAGTTTATAAAAATAAGGGATTATATGTAAGAAAGTATAACTATTTCTCAAGGTGATTCTCTTTTCTTTTTTCAATGAAGAGATTCTGTCTTTTCCTTCTTTAATAAAGATATTTCTTTCTCTTTTTTATCTTGTTATTTTCTTCATTATACTACAAAGCTTAGGTTTTAGGGAACTCCTTAAGAATCATTTTAATGAAGTACAACATTGATATTTTACATGAAAATCAAAGTTTGGTACTCTAAGTATACTACTGGAAGGTAATAGGCCATAATAACTGTAGCAAAAAATGAAAAAATGGGGACAGTTCTTCTCTTGTATGTGCATATTTTACCACCTGTTGATAAGATATAATTGTGACCCACCTTGAGGAGGTGAATAACAACTTACCTTAAAACACTTTGCCAACATTTTACTGAAAAAAATAATAAATGAAATATATTGTCTAACCAAGGAAAATCATTCACAGAAAATTAAAATAGTGGATGTCATTTTGGAGATGATTTTAGCATAAATAATGAAATTGGCCTCCCAAATGTGGCAGTTTTCTCTGTGGGAATGGTGGTCTCCATGGCAGACTGGCAGTACAAATAAAGTGAGACTTACTGACAGATGTGGGGACCATTTATTTGAGTGGATGGAAGAGATCGTTAGGCTTCATGTGTTGTTTTACAGAGAGAGGGTTCTATGAAAAACTTATGTTGCTTTTCTGTGATAACCGGTATAATGTTTTGAGTTGTTAGTTCTTTGTGATGTTGTATGCATAGATTTCATAGTTTTAATTTTATGAAACTTAATTGTATTTTAAGACACTTGTCAGCAACTGGCTTGTTAGTGGAGTGGAACATTAGGAGTTTTGTAGAGCAAATAAGGATTTTGACTAACTTCGTTTTAGGCTAAGGACATTTTACCTGGCATAGCTTCTGTTAAAGTAGCTATTGAGCACCCTTTAACTTCTAGTTATAAAATATGATGTTATGACCATAACATTTTACTCACTATATTTCTCTGTGGCCATGGGATAACTTTTTATTTATTAAGACTTTTTATTTCTTACTTTTTTTTGGGGGGGATACTAGAATGCCAGACTCATAGGAAGAGTATGATACTATTATGCCTCTTGTTTTAATCTGAAAGTGTTGATTCTTGCTATAGTGTGTAAAGACAGAACCTTTATACTAGAATGCCAGACTCATAGGAAGAGTATGATACTATCATGCCTCTTGTTTTAATCTGAAAGTGTTGATTCTTGCTATAGTGTGTAAAGACAGAACCTTTTCATATATATGTGGCTCGGAGTCAGTCAATATCTCTATAGACTCACAGCTGTGAAGCTATACTAATATGAAATTATCCATGCTAACTCTTCCAGTTTATAACTCATAAACCAATATCCTCAGAATTTTTATTAAATGATCTATCTTATATGCAAAGGATGACGTTCATTCACCTAGAAAAAAATAATCTGTACATTTAAAATTGTGGCTGCAGAACAAGAGGAAGCCTTCTTTATCTCATTAACTAATTCTTCTAAGGAATGAACCCTTCACTTTCATTTTTTGCTCAACGAGTAGCAAAAGCAAAGTTAAAAAGTAGATTAATTGTGAACAGAAAGCATCACATATGAATTGTTGCCAATCTGAACAGAAATATAATACATAGACATAGATATATATCAAATACGTATGCACATGCACTTGCACACTTTTAAACATTAAAATAGCCTCCTCAGGCACAGTGTAATGAATAGAATAAGGCTGTTTGGGGTCAAGTTGAGAGAAGCAATGTGTAAAAACATGAGAGAAAATGCTAAGAAATGATATATATAACGGTGCTTTAAATCTTGGCTCCATAAGACTTGAAGAGATGTAACTTTCTTCTCAAAATAAGGAAGCTATCAGCATTTTAATGAAAAATTTATTCTGGGAAGGGGTATTAAACAAATTTGTTATTTAAAAAAAACCCCCAAACAAGACATATATATCTTGTTTTCCTGAAGCAACTATAGAGTACTGTTCTTTGTCATTAGCCTTAAGTACAATATACTTTTTACTTTAGGTGCAGAATATTTCATATCAACACAGGCTCTGTCAAAAGGTTACTACTGTTTGTGAATGTATGTGTGTGTGATTTACATGAATATATCACGGACTCCTTTTGATAGCAGTAAGCCAGGTGCACCAAAATAGAATGAAAGACTAACTTATTGGCCCTCTAGTTTATATAACGTTTAGGCTCAGTGTGGAAGCATTTCAGCATTCTTGTGTGAAAGTCATGTCCTCCTAGAATGGCACTGTTTTTTCAAAGGTTAGTCTGTTTTTCCAAGGTGATGAGCACATAGAGGTCTTTGTTATTAAA